CCAAAGGGTAGAGCTCCAACCATTGTAGTGTGTTGCCCCAAACTGTCACTTTCAGTGAGTGTTAAATAAGGTTTTCCATCATTCTGTCTGCTGGTTTCTTCCACCGGACACTCATCCACGGAAAACTGCACTCCACTGATTGAGGGTTAACATTGGGAACGTAAAATCCCCTGTGCTTCTAACTTGTGCATGTGCTTGGCTGTCCATCTGTCTGTGGTTTTGGAGATAGCCCTAGGGCAACAAAACAAGACTATTCATGGTTAACGTGGGAAACCAGCAAAGTCAACAGAATTGTCCAGTAGAGCCGCCTTGAAAACTGGTGGGCCACGGACACATGGTATGGTGCATCAAAAGTGTTTTTTATAACATATATTTATTTCCTTGACTATAAGACCTATGAACAGACACTGTCTCTATCATGTTCAACACTCTACCCAGCAAGTGCTATAAGTCTTGGAAAATGGTAGATCTTCAAATGAGGCGTATTGAATGTATGACTGAATAAATTTATTCATTTTGTGAATAAGCATGTGACTTCCCTTGGTTCACTAAAGGAAATACATCATTATTAACACTATTAATGATCAAGCCTAACCTCTTCTTAAGGTAAATATTAACACTTAATTAATGAAGAGTTAGTAAAGATGTGATGGATTTCATTAGTTTATCCCAGATGACATTTTTCATACTGTAAGTATATTGGAGAGAGCATAGATATGGGAGTCTGATGAAATGGAGTGTAAGCACTAGCCTTAACATTTATTCATTCAGAATCTGTTTCTCCTCCCACAAATTATATTTCATGGTGCTGACTGAAAAGTGGAGTACTTAACATGGTATAGTAACTAAAATGATACCTATTATAAATTGTAAAATTTAGATGTTTTCTACATAATCAAGCAGTACAACTTTAGGATAAATTAGTTTGTATCTCTAAGTAAGGATATATGAGCTCATGATATTGACTGTGTCTAGAGGATTAGAGGTAATTCTAACTAAAAGACATGGTGTCTAATCATGTAAACTATATTTTAAACTCAAACTCACAATTGTCAAACTATTGTCTAGAGTAGAGTTTAGATACTCAAATTCATATCTAAATTAGTAACAGAATTAATAAAGAAAAAAGGATGTCACGAAATAAGTAATTACACACACAGACAAAAGTTTGAAGAATTATTATGATAGATGTAGTCCAATCAGGCAAATTTATTGAAATATTCAAATCACAATCTTGCTTGATACGATCTTCAATTTCACATCACTAGCAGCTAAAATACCAAATATTCTTATTTAATTAGATCTTACTTTTAGACCTGTACAGAATTACTTTCTAAAAGTCTTACCAATGATCTCTATTTTCAGCTCTCTGATAAATACATTGAATTTCCAGGTCAGTGTATATATTACTTTTTTGGTGTCACACGAAGACCCTAATTCATTCATCTTTAATTCAAGAATGGAAAGTTCAGCTATAGTACCAGACAACTGAAATTTATGATATGAAGATGGATTAGTTGCATCTCATCTTGAAATGGCATTGAACTTTATTCACCCTACAAGCATCTCCACTTGCTCACAAATATGAACCAGTCACATATTTCTTCTTTGACAACAAGAGAGAATGAAATACAGCAATAATTGTAACGTGCATGCAGCATCTGTTGCTTCTGTGCCAAGAAACACATATATAAAGAAAGTCTTCTCTCATAGGCTCCTTGAAGCCTTCTAAAATTTCAGAGGTTGGTTAGACCAGTATATTTTCTACTCTTCTCATCTTTTATTAATGGTTACTTGTTCTTAAATAATATGTTTCTACTATAATTATCACTTACCTGGGAATGGACATTAAGTGATTTCCAGTAATATTTCCCATCCTTGAGCATATAATTTTATACATAGGTAAGTATTTTGGAAGATGGATTTCTAGAATTGTAATTTATGCTTGAAAATATTTATACACTTATAATTCTAAATACAAATCTCTGAATTTTCTTGGGAAAAAAGACTTTTTTTTCATGTATACACTCACCAACAGTATATGAAATTTCCATTCCCCCAAAACCTTGCCAGTACTGGGCATTTTTGAGCTTATTTAAAATGTTTGTAATATGATGGGTTAAAAATATCATTGAAAATCTTTTTAATTCAGTTGATTGATGCTGAGTTTTAGTACAATTTTTTATATATGTGTTGGTGGTCATTTTGACTTTTCAGTAAAAAAAAATTTTTTGTTACAGCATTTTTACATATTAAAAACTATTGTATCTTTACTTTTCCTATAGCTGAAATGTATCTCCATCTATTTTGTAAATTAATGACCTATTCTCCTTCAGTGGCTGCTTTAGTTATTTTCTCCTTACACGTTACTGAAACTCACCCCAGCCCAATCAAAAACGTTGGAACAACGTGCAATAAAAATTACAGATGCATCTAAATTTTAACGTCTCCCTTTTCTTTGCTGGCTCTTGCTTGGTTCAGATTCTTCTCATCATTGCCTATACTCTTTACTTGTCACCTCTGCTCGCTCTATGGCATCCTCAATGCTATTATCCAAAACCAGAAATTATGGCAAGATGATGACATAAGCTTTTATCTCTAAATACTCCTCTCTCCTCCTGATTCCAATGAAATTATCAAAAGATGCTTTTGACATACCAGGAATTTCAATAGTTTAGCCAAATATAGTACAGGAAAAATCATATTGATGACAGAGTCATCATCCAGTTCTTTTGTTTTGCTCTGAAAACTCAACATGATCTAGACACCTCTAAAGAAAATTTAGATAGAATCCCTAACTTAGTCATACTGCTCAACTTAGAGGGGTCTGGATAGGAAGCAAGATTCTTTGCTGAAGCACTTAGAGGTCTCTTTTATTTCCTCTAATGCCACTAATAGCTGCTCTTGGCATTGACATCCACAGAAATCCAGTATCCACACAGTGACTTTTCATTCAACCTTATATCAGGGCCAAAAATTCATGCCACGCAGAGATCAGGTGAGAGAGTCCTTCACAATAATATAAAACTTCTTAAGTTAAGATGAGAAAATATTTTGCCTAATGTCTACAGGGACTTTTTAGAGAGATGAGCGGGGAGAAATGACAAAATAATGTATATCTAGGGAGAAGTAAAGCCAAATAAAATACATTCTCCATGGTAATTATTACAATTATTTGAAAATATTTCAATTTGCTTCTTGAATCACACAGTATGATCGCACAGCTCTACTGCATTAAAGCTAGGTAGAAAGATGTGAATTATTGGCTAATGAAATACTAGCAGGGATGATGTGTTTACTTCCAGGCAGAAACCTTAACAGTCACTGCATGGCTTACCATCGTAATGAGGGAAGCACATGATGAGTTGGCATCTTCATCAGCATGGATTCTTGAGTGATTGTGTTAGGCAGAGCCCCTTAATAGCCAGCATTAGAAAAGTGGTGAGAGCATGAAATATATTTATCATTACCCACTCATAGAGTTTGGAACTCCATTTTGACCAACATATTTCCTTCCCCAAAGACTAATATAAATAATTGAGGACAAAATTGAGTTAGTTAAGATACATGAATGTTAAGAATATGGAGATATGGTGTAAACATTTTACAAAATAAAAGAAAAAAGCTGTAATTTTATCTTTAAAAGAGGACCAATTGATTATATGTCATACTTGAAGATGCCTTCTTTTCTCTTCCCTCCAACAACAACAACAACAACAAACAAAATGGCCAATTCTATGAATTTTATTAAACCTAGACATGTCATTACCTGGGCTTCTTCACCCTCTGGCCTCTGGATGAATGGTTTGAGTAGAAAAATCACAGCACTGGAAGGAAGAGTGACAAAGACATTTTTTCACTCTCTCCTTTCTTTGGCGCTGTGTTCTGATTGTGGAAGTATTCCTGTTGTGTATTCTTTTATGAGATGGCCAGTCAAGTATGGCCACAAGAAGAGGCACAGAAGAAGCTCAGGAAAACAAAGTTTATTATACTCATAGGTCCTAGAAACAGGGGGCACAGTGCACCACGTAGGACCACAGGGAAAAACACCAGGCTGATCAGGAGGCAGAAGACAGGAGCAAAAACAAGGTTTAGGCTAGAGCCTTTATTGGAGTTTCCAAGGGAAAAGCAAGGCCGAGCAGGGTAAAGAGTTTAGAATCAGCTGGTTTGAATAATTTGGTCAGGCTCTGAGCTATAGAGGTGGTGTCTAGTTGCCTGGTACCTGGTCCTACAATGATTGAGACAGAAGAATATTGCCTCTCACTGAGCTCTTCCCCTTGAACTTTTGGGTTTATTACAGATGGTCATGTCTTCACGCTATTACTAGTCTCTGTGTGCCTTGACATCCCTTTCAGTTTTTCTAAAGGCTATTTACATCTCAATAAGTAATCCATTTATCAAAATCTGTTTAAAAATCTTAGCTGAATATGCCTTGGGTTTTCTACTTGGATCCCCATTGCTTACATTGATTACTACCAGAAAATGAATATTTAAGATGGTATTGTGGAATTAGGTTATTCACAGATTTAGTCAGAGTGCAGAAAACTAACTTTTTTGAAGTAAATGGAAACTGGTCTTTAATTTCAGGTGGGGGACACAACATTGGGGCAGCATGCCCCTGTGGCAGGTTTTAGTTATGGGCAATGTTGGTTAATAGGAATTTTTACATGCACTAGCTGCTCCAGCTGTAAAGGAGAGTTTAAATATGAGATAAATATGACCTCCTGAGTCAAAGCGTAGGTAGAGAATCAGAGAGATTCAAATAATCCTTTAGCTTATAGATATGCAGAACAGACATGGCTGAAAAGCAGGCTTAAAGTTTGGGTTACAGAGTTAAAATTCTGGTAGAATATCCAATATTCCTAAGACTTTTAGGTGAAGTGTAGGCCACAGTTCAAAGGAGAGGGACGTGCGTTACGAGAGAGACACATTTGAGCCCACCCAGGAAAACTATTTTGAAAGCTGAAATATCTTCTCTGAGATCTGCTCTTACTGAAGTGGACCAGTGATGAAAATAGCCAAATCCGAGCACCAGATGAGCTTCAAGTCTACCTGATGAGTGATCTCTGAGTTCTGAGAAGCAAAAGCATAGAGTACAATATTGGCTCATGTCTAGGGTAATGTGTGTGTGTGTGAGTGTGTGTGTATAAAGACGGCAGTGGATAACTGAGGACTTGTCAATAGATAAATGAGTTTGGGGAGGGTGATGTGTGTGTATGAAATTCTGAGCAATGATGAAAAAAGGTTTTACTACTGGCCTTTATAACTATGAAAGTTTCGACACAAGCTGAGCTCAGAATTGGAAAAAAAAAGAAACCTGAAATATCAAGGTAATTTTCTTGTTTTTTAAATTTTTTAAATTTTTTCTTTTGAGGAAGATTAGCCCTGAGCTAACATCTGCCACCAGTCCTCCTCTTTTGCCGAGGAAGACTGGCTGTGAGCTAACATCCGTGCCCATCTTCCTGTACTTTATATGTGGGACGCCTACCACAGCATGGATTGACAAGCAGTGTGTAGATCTGCACCCAGGATCCAAAACTGGTGAACGCTGGGCCGCCAAAGCAGACCGTGCAAACTTAACCACTGTGCCACCAGGTGGGCCCTCAACTATTATGAACTCAAAAAAAAAGCAAATGTAAGCCATAAAAAAAAAAGTCATACACTAGACTGTGAAACAGATCACAGTAATTTTTATCAACATTAATGTTTTAAAAGAGAAATATGCCAGGGGTTTTAAAACAAATCCAAAATCAAAATAGTAAAAAAAAAAAAAAAAAACAGAAAGAAAAATAATTATTCCCCTAGGAAACCTTTGATTGATCTGGGAAAATAAAGGATCATTATTATATTTCAGTCCATTTTGTTTTGAGTCTGGTGCAAAATAAAACATTATATATTGAAATCATTGCAGCCTCGGATGACCTCATTGTTAAGAGAGAAATTACAAAAAAATAGACAGAATAATAAGGCAATACTTTAGCAAAAAGATAAATCAGAATAAATTAACAACTAATATCAAATCTCAATACATGAGATTTGAAATGTACAAATAAAACACATTATTTGAAAATTTCCAATCTGTCTAGTCTAATCAAATAAAAAATAGAAAATAAATAAAAATATAAATAAAATGATATAATAACATGGCAAAGAAAACTAGACGAGGCTAATATTTATTGCTAAACCTAAACTTGTCAGTGGAATTGCTATTTTCCTTATGAAACTTTTTATATAGAAAATGATTCAGAAAACAGTAAACAATCCCAAATGCGCATTCAATAGCTAATGTATAACCATTTTGGTATATCCATACAGTGGGATACTGCTCAGCAATGAAATGAGATGTATGACTGATACACACAGTAACATATATGAATTTAAAAAGCATTATACTAAGAAGCCAGACACAAAAAAGTATAATACCAAATGAATTTATCTCTATGGTATTTTGGAAGACGTATACTATAGGGGCAGACCAAAAAAGTAATTATTACAAATATGAAGTTAAATCTAATAAATTTATCCATGTGTGTATATTCCCCCAGGAGTTGGAACTTAATGTATTAGATCAAGTACTTGGGAGTATCTCAATTCTTTTCCATTGATCTGTGTGTCTGGTTTTTTTTGCCAGTACCATGCTGTTTAGATTATTATGCACTAATAATGAATAAGCAGACAGAGAACTCAAGAATACCATCCCATTTACAATTGCAATAAAAAGAGTAAAAAACCTAGGAATAAATTTAAACAAGGAGGTGAAACCAAGAAACCACTGAAAATTATAAGACATTATTGAAAGAAATCAAAGATGACATAAAGAAATGGAAAGATATTCCACGCTCATGGATTGGAAGAATAAACATAGTTAAATTGTCCACATTATCTAAAGCAATCTACAGATTCAATGCAATCCTAATCAGAATCCCAGTGACACTCTTTGCGGAAATAGAACAAAGAATCCTAAAATTGGGCCTGGCCTGGTGACACAGCAGTTAAGTGCACACGTTCAGCTTCGTCTGCCCAGGGTTTGCCAGTTCGCCGGGTGTGGACATGGCACCACTTGATAAGCCATGCTGTGGTAAGCCTCCCACATATAAAGTGGAGGAAGATGGGCACAGCCTTCCTCAGCAAAAAAAGAAAGATTGGCGGCAGTTAGCTCAGACATAATCTTCCTCAAAAAAAAGAAAAAAAAAGAATCCTAAAATTTATATGAAACCACAAAAGAGCCCTGAATAGCTAAAGCAACCCTGAAAAAAAGAACAAAGCTGGTGGCATCACAATCCCTAACTTCAAAATATACTACAAAGCCGTAACTTGTACTTTTAAAGGCTAAATAAAATAGCACATTAACATAAATTAAACTTATGAGTGATCAGAAACAAAAATTGGAATCTAGCATTTAATAAAATACTTTGCACCAATAATTTTGAATTTCAAAAGTAAATGAACTTAGATATATCAAAAATATCCTGATATCATTAACACATTAGAAAAGGTTTCAAATGTCTGTGGCTTTTACTGCTTCTTCCTCAAAATAATATGTTTACAGATTGATGATTTGTACTCATGTTGCAGTAGCTTTGGGACCAAGAGGTACGAACTTAACACAGCATTCTAAATGAATTTCATAAACACAAATCCTGGGGGCATAAAGGATCCAAAGCAGGTTTTAATCCATAAATGAATTTTGATTTTCCAATAAATATATGCTGCTCGTGGAAACAATAGTGGCCTAAAAAATTTCCTTCCTAAAAGAATTCTACACCAAAAGGCTTTGAAGCTGAACATGATGAAAAACTCAGAATTACATTAAAAACAAATTTCATTAAATTTAGCAAATATCTATTGCACAGGTACCATTTACCAAGCGCTGTTCCAGGTTCCTGCCTTTAGTTCAGAAGTGAGAAGAATCAGGCATGAAGCAATTAAATATGAAATAATATGACAAAAACAGAAGAAAGGTATCTATAATTTGCTGTGGCATGTAAATCAATTTACTTATGGAAAGTTCCTGGGAAATTTCTCCAAAAATTGTGTGATCGTACAGTGTATAAAATAACTTTACCTGTATTATCTGAATCTCAAGACACCTTTCTTGATAAGGAAAATCTCCTTCATTGATTTGGACTTTGGGGTCCAGAGCAATTTCAAGAGCCCTTGGAGATTATTTCTCTGCTTCCAGAAGACCCTTCGTGGACAGCTGCTGGGGCTGCAGCCAGTACTCCTCACTCTGTAGAAATGAGGATATCTGAATTAGATCCAGGTTTCCTCAAGTGCATCAAAATGAGTAATATTACACTCTGTACAACTATTAACATGATCCCCAAGCAGCTTAACTTTCAACATAATCTTATAGGATTGTTTACTTGTGTTCCTAATTTATCCATTACCAATTCTATATTTCCAGATTCTTATGCAATCCTAGTTATGAACATTAGAAACCATAACATATCACAAATCATATCAAAAGATCCTTCTGTAGATACATTCTAGAGAAATTGGTATGCATTTCACTTTCAAGCAGTGGTTTAAGGAAACCGTATAATAAACTTACCCCTCCTGCATATTTAATACATATAAATTCCTGAGTAACATGGAGAAATAAGACTGACAATAATCAGTTACCTAAATTGTAGCTTTAAAATGCTTAATAATCTGATGGAATTATGGCCCAGCCTGAAAAAAATAACTTGTCATCTTTCTGAGTTATTTTTTGTGTGGGCATCCAGATTGTAAGACTAGCCTGTACAAAATAATATACTCAGGACCTAATTAATTGCTTAACTAGGATGCTTGGTAATTTTCATTGTTCAACCATAAGATATAAACACCGACTTGGTCCCTAGATTACAAGTAACCCTTCTTCAACCCAATGTGGAGTTAATGAGAAGGAATATTAATATAGTGTTTGTGACAGCAGCTAGGCAAACTGTCATGTTTATAAGCAAGACTTGAAAGCAAATCATGCAAATTGCAATGCAGCTTGTCACCACTGGATCTTGTATGCTATGGACAGAGGGTCTATAACAGTGATAGCGACAAGCTGCAAAAAACAAAAACAAAGAATTGTGTAACAGGATATTGGGAAGAAGCAACAGATTTTAGAGAATGAAAGAGTAAACACATGTAGAGTTTGACTAACACGACTTGCTAAAAATGATCGCAGTCTTCCAAGAAACTAGGAAAATAGAGACGTGGAATGATAGCTGCTAAGTAGATAAAATTAAAGAATTAAAAATAAAGAAGAAACCATGTTTACACATAGAGGAAATGAGCAGAAAGAAGGATTATACAGTTGCTGAAAATCAGGGGGAAGGAAATAATCTTTTCATCTTTAAAATTAAAATGAATGAGGAGGTTTAATTTTAAACAGTCTAAATAAATTAAACCATTATCTGCAGACTAAGTAAATAAGTCATGTGCTTAATTATTTATGAAGATAGTTACTATGAATTTATACTTCACTGTAGCTCACTGTAATTTTTGAAGCATCTCTGTTTCTTCTGAGTTTTTGTTCTGGAAAGTTGGACAATGAATTGTAGAATGCATCATTTCCTGGAAAATGAAATATTAACAATCTGGAGAATGTAAAATGGAGCTTCCATGTAGTCTGAGTGGGAGATCGAATGATGAGTTTTGTGGGATAGGAATCTTTTTGTTTTGTTTTACTTATTCCCAGTAGTGCTATAGACTTCTAGAATTAAGTAAATGATGAGGCTGTCTTGTCCTGCTAAATTCTAGCACGTTCCCAGAAAAAGCTATGTGTAGGTATGCTTTAAGATTAAAGTTCTGACCAGAACTTCAAAAAGGCACTACTGTGCCTGACAAACAGAGTTAAGAAAGCATTCTACATCAAGAAATCTGACACAGAGGCACAAGAATAAGGATGCCACCAGAAAAATGGCGGATCTTGGAAACTAAGAAATGCACCTCTCTTCCTCCATTCTTTATTTAGTTTAATTTTTGAAGTACAGAATGATAAATATGGTGCAATTTTTATCTATGTTTTGAGTATCTTAGTAATATTATGCTTGTTGAAGATTTATTAAATACTATGCTTTCTACAGTATTATACCAGGAAAATTTGCAGAAGATGTTTTATATAAAGACAATACTGCTTAGCCATATAAAAGATGAAATTTTGACATTCGCTACAAGACGGATGGACCTCCAGGGTATTATGCTAAGTGAAATAAGTCAGACAGAGAAAGCCAAGTGCCCGATGATTTCACTCATAAGTGGGAGATAAAAACAACAGCAACAACAAACAAACATATAGATACACAGATTAGATTG